GAACCACACTCAGCTGTGTAGTTTGTACCTCCTCTCCGAGGGACACCGCAGCAATAAATATTAAATAAATAATAATAATAAAGAAAGAAACACGGAACAGATTAAATTCACGCTCTTATTTTGAAAAGAACGGGTTCCTGTTCTTCGTCCTGTAGCCTACCCAGAATGCATTGCTTCAGTTTTACAATAAACAGTTTAAAATGACTAATATATCTGCATGTTTTCTTACTGGAGCCCTGCCATAAACATAAGACAATGACAAAGAAGCAGCAGAACTAGCAATCAATAACTATTTTTTTGTTTTAACACCATGATTTAAAAGTCTGTTTCGACAAATCACCTCCCCAAACTGCGACGGCACGTCAGTCTATGGAAGAAAATGATCTTACCACTAGATGGCAGTGAGGTGCTGACTTGTCTCATACCTGAATGTTTTCTGCTAAATGGAGATAATCTTGTGCTTTATATTTAGCTTCTGCTAAGTTTATTTGAGCATACGTGCTTTAGAACTTGCGGACCTAAATTAATTGACTAGCGCTTTAGAAATTGCGCAACTAAATTTTGAATTAGCGCTGCTGCCCACCACTGCCTGCATGTTTTACATCCTCTGCTCCGACACGCCTGTTGATCATCCAGTCATTCAAATCAGGAGCAGAGAAATGCAAACTTCAACTCATTTGATTTAAAAACAAAAGCCCTCGCGTCCTCAGAACCTGTCCAAACTCACCTGTTTGTGTCCGCAGCTCCGTCCAACAGGAAACCAGGTGATCCTCTGATCATCTCAGACATCAAGAAAGGCAGCGTGGCCCACAGGTAAGCAGATCTCACACTCAGCGTGTTTAAACAGAACAGAACACATTCTGCTGGTGTCAGCTGTCCTCCACGTGCTCATCTGTTTGGGCTAACAGGTGCCAGTGTCTGTGTTGGTTTTTTGTTTGTTTGTTTGTTTGTTTGTTTACAGATTGTGTGTTTTCCAGTGTGAAGCAGAAAACGAGCAGAGCCCATCTGTTCTCTGGATGTTTTAGTTACGAAAGAGAAAATCTCAAATAAAGGATTGATAAACCTTCTGTCACTAAACACGATCAGATTAAACAGATCTCAGCAGGAAATCATCGTTTCACCATGGAACATGTTATTGATCATTGATCACTTATTGTTATTGTTATTTATCAGTGTGAACGCCTCACACCACTCACACTATTGAGATCATTTTTTGTTATTTGACCCCTTTCTCGTTCCACAATTTTTATTCTTTTTCAACAATGAATACATCAAACCATTCAGCTCATTCAAGACACTCCGGCTAGGACTTTTGGTATTTCTGCTACTTATATATTTTTTTAGCTTTTTCACTTTTTTAGCCACTTTTTTGTCATTGAAAATGAATGGAGCTGTTTTCAACATCCTTAAAATCCTTCAAATTGTTTCTAAGTATTTACAAAACCTTACGCAATTTAGTCTGGTTATAATCCAATGAAGTTCATTGTGTCTATATGATAAATCTTAATTTTTTTTTAGTTACCAGACACTTTATTTTATGTCTCTTCAGACATAACTGACATGTTTCGACGTATGCTTCTGTCTTCATCAGAGGTGTCACAGCTGATGTTGTTTAGACATAAAATAACAAAGTGTCTAGTAACTAATAAAAATTAAGAGTTATTCTGGTTATGCTCTTTTTTACTGCCTTGTGCAAATTTTAGCTTTTTTTTTGCTATTTCAGCTAAAATTCTGCTTCTTTCTGCTATTCTACAGCTTTTTTCTACTTTTTTGTGCTTTTTTCTGCTACTTTGTACTATTTAAGCTTCTTACAGATAGTTTCTGCTATATTCAGCTAATTACTGCACTTTTAGCTAATGTTCAGCTGATATTAGCTAAAGTTTGTGCTTC